AATCTTGAGTGGGGGGTGCAAATCAAAAAGTTTGTCCCCGGGCGCTGAGAAGGGTCGCTACGCCTCTGTTCAGTACCTCCAAAAAGTAAAGAACCACTGGTTAACGGTGAAGCTAAAGGACAGAAGAAAGCAGAACACATAGTATTGGAACTCAAGCATCGTGTTCTCAATAATACTTCACACAAATTAGTGAAACATTTCAAATTACTTTATTGTTTTCAGAACCCACTTCCCACCATGCACCCAAAAAAAATCAAGATACAGTTTAGCACAACTGTGTTGACTTATTCATCGCTACATTTCATACAGCAAAATGTGTGCTAAAAATAAGAAATCAAAGCAATCAAATGACAGTATTACATAACACGGCCGTCCACCTAACACATATCCCATATAAAACGAACACAGTGATTAACTCTCTTTTAGATCTTTATGAGAAGCATTCGTACATGGTCTGTTTGTAAAGGGTATAGATAGAGTTTCTTTCAGGTATAGTCCTTCCCGACACTGGTAAAAGTATATACTTTGTATATAAATTATACGAGCCGACCCGCGGCATATTATACGCCGCTATTTAGTTGTTGTTTTTTCTACTTTTCAGTAATTCATATAATTTGTGAATTCGACAGTAACAACGCTGCCACTGAAAATATTTCTTTAAAACACTATAAGTAGCTCATTAAGGACGATAACCCCCCCCTCCTTCCCCCCCCTCCCTCCGTTTAAGTAAACTCCACTTAGTTACACCCCCCCCTACGTTTAAAATCGTTTCTAACTAAATTATCTGCCCCCAAAAGTCGTCACTAAACCCGGCTGTGCTTCTTAACATTTTGCGTGAACCATAGCTCACCAGACCATGTAGGGGTGGGGGTGGTAGGGACTGCGCTTACAGCTTGTTTTCTAGCGTCTCCAAGAAGAGAATTATATATATAGATTTTCGTTCGGAGGGAGGATACCCCTCCCCCCCCCCCCCCGATAGAACCCCCCCCCCCCCTACGAAGCAAGTGTACTCTCCCCTTCAGCACGAAAATAAAAATCTTTTATGTAGAGATTTATACGTTAAGTTTTAAATTTTAAATGCCCCCCTCCCTCCTGATTACATTTGTTTTTATTTTCACAGTATATTTCTAATTATGTTTTAAACTTGATTTGCTCGATTACACATGTATAAGTACTTGTAGAATATCTAAACTAAACGCGTCTCTGTACATTCCACAGCCTGTAGGATATATTAGAGTTCGTTTACCTATGTAAGCTTGGCATAGGAATTGTCAATGGTCAGCAGTAGTGGTTAGCACTCATCAAAGCGTTTGGGATTAAGTACAAGGTTTCTTTCCGACATTTTTCTCCTCCCCCCCCCCCTGTGGGGGTAGGCACTTGAAAGTTTCGATGGAACTGGGGTGGGGGGGGGGTTAAGTATCTAAGTTCTATATAAATTATATTTCATCCAATATTTCGTTCGGGATAGGAGGGTGGGGGAGGCGAAGAGATTCATGAAAGAAATTCTACTTAAGAACGAACCGAACTCGAAACTTAAGTGTTAGCATTGCAGGGCGCTACCACTCGACCAAGCCATGACCTATAACACAACAATTGTTACAGGAAACCATGCGATAACCGTGCAGAAACTCTTGTAAAACGGAAACTTAATCACACCCCCACCCCATAGTATTTAATGATTCAGCCCGTGTCACCCTTATAATCTGATTAAAGGTGTTAATCTCAAGTGGTTTGCTAAACGTTAAGTAGCAGATTAGAGATGTGTGTGGGTGGGGGAGGAGGGGGGGGGATAGGGTGATGATAAACCAAAGCTACAACAGGTATAGTCATTGTTATTGTTTAAAAACAAAAGGAAAACAAGAAGCCAATTCACAAAAAGCGTACACAAAGCTCGCTAATTCGATCTCTTTGCTTAAAAACCAACTTAAAAACAAAGGAAATAAGGCGAGGGGTAAGTTGAAATCTAGGATAAAAAATTACTTCGTATTATTTCGTATTTTAACCTTGTGAGAGATTAATTATGAATAACTAGGATTCAAATCGCATCTAAAATATATACTAATACTCTTAAATTTTAAAATAAGTATTTCTTTTTTTTTTTAATTTTCGAGATGAAGCTGATTTTATTATAATGTATGTTGCATTTTTTTTCGCATGGTAAGACATGGGTGCTCTTGATGAAAATTATTATTATTTAATTAGATAATGAGTTCTAACTTAAGCGGATGACATCCGTTTTCAAAGGAAGTAAATTGTAATTTAATGTACACAGTTTTTAACAATGCATGGAGTCATTGAATTATTCTGATTCCTTTTCTAATCACGTCATGGATTTAAAATTCCCAGGGTGTAGATCTCATGTTAGCTAGGTGACACTTTATCGTGTTGTGGACCTATCTACTTAATGAAAGGTCCTAAGTCATATTTACTTTACTCGAACAAGTAAATTCACACTTAGGGTAAGGGGAAGAATGAACTCGATAAAACTGATAATCCGCTAATCTGGATTAAACACCTCAAGGTGTCGAAGCGATTGAGTTCGTTCTCAGGTAAGAGGGTGGAGGTGGGGTGAGGAAGGAGAGATACACTATAGAATCACCAGTTATCACACTCCCCCCCCCCCTCCCCTCCCGGCCCCCGGGGGGTACGGCTGACCGCGTAGTCTTTGATCCGGACGTCCAAGAAGCCGCGGCGACTTGAAACAGGCCAGGGACAGATAAGCCATCTTAAGTCTCTCGCACATGAGCATTACGTCACCCAGGTAACTGATTAGTCCTGCGGTGGTGACGGTGAGAGGAGGGACGTCTTTTGTCTACCCGAGGCGATTGATCCGCCGCATCCAATCATATTCCGTCAACCTCCCGTGCAGGGGGGATGGGGACATTGTCCTGTCCGTGTATATATGATGGTCAGCTGCGGTCAGTTTTTATTTCGTTCTGTGTATTTGCCCAGTGTTACCTGATATTAAGTTCAATTTGTGATTTATAGCAAGATTTGTTTTCAACGATATTTCTGATTTTTGAGGTATGTTTGGTCTTTAATCATTAAATCGTGTTATACTTTATTTTTTACGGTAATGTCATTTCATGCTTAATAATCTCTAATTATTTGAAACTTCATTATTAATTAAATTTAATGAGAATTAATATTTAATTAGGACTAGACGAGAATTCTAAATTATTTTCATAATGGTTATATTATTTCATATTTGCAATGGATCTTTAATTATTTAAAACTTCATTTTAAATTAAATTTAATGACAGTGACAATTAATCGCTAGTATTACATAATTAGGGCCAGCTAAAATTGCTTAACTTAATTAATAAATTAGCCATAACAAGTAACGAAATGAAATGTCACCGTATCCTTTTTATTAACACACCGATGCACATAATTAGGTTAAGCAACTAATTAGCCTGTTATTTTGCTAAGTAAAAGCATTACAATTTGTATTAAAAGTATAGTTACACTATTCGAATCTTATAATTGAACGTTAAATTCTTGTCGCTTAGCAAAAAAAAAAAACCTATTTGTTTACATTTTCAAGCCTAAACATAATTTTAGCAGTAAAAAATATCCTTAATCATGCGCAGCGTGACTATGACAAAAGATAAACAAACATCACGTGGCTCTGTATATAAATAGAACATAAAGTCAAGTCTGTGGTTCTTAATTGGTATTTTCTTCAAGATAAAATTAAATGCTGATCTCTGTCTTGTACTTAAAAGACGGTTGTATTTTTTTTCACCACATGTTTGGTTTATAGACATTTATTTTAACTTCAGTATTGCGTGTACATTTGAAACTCATGATGTTTGATTAAATAGTTGATAACAACAACCATGAACCTATGCAAATAGAAATCACGTTTTCAACCATAATCCAACTGTACAATTCAAAGGTAACCAAAACCATTAACCCCGTGTAACTCTAGCCCTAAATATGGGCTACACCAAACACATATAATGTTAAACTATCGAAAAAAACAACCTTCGCGATTTATAAACCACATTATTTATGTTATTTATAGACAAGCACGATTGTAGCGAACACTTTACTTAAAGCATATCTTAGAAGTACTAATACGAAACGAAGTTTACGGTTAGCTATTTAATAAAAGAAAAATATTTTTACTTGCTGTATCGAACCTAAAGGTCAGGGTTTAAATGTCGGTCTATATAATCGATAGCCAGAAATGACACATATCAGCTTAGTATGACGCATTATAGGCCTATACCGGTAAAAAAAAAAACCGCAAAAAATTAATATCTTTTCATAATTTTTTTTGTAACTCTAATATTTCTTATCAGTTTATTAAATGAGATAATAGACTTTTAGTGTTGTACTACACAAGCATTGAAAGTATCATTTCGGTATGGAAAAAAAAATCTAAAACAAATTACTGGAATTAAATCCATTTGTGTGATATAGGCCTAGGGTCTTCGCTAGGTCGGGTGTCACCCGGTGCGGTAATTTATGGTGTCACCCCCTCCGCCCACCAAAGGAAAAAAAAGGATATGTTCAAAGGGTTCACAGTTAATAGTAATGATGTTTATCTATAGACGATTATTAATAAAGCTGGATGTAGCACTATTTTCTCTTTTGTTAGTAGATTTCTGTCATGGTGTACACCCCCCCCCCCCCCAACACACTCACACGACCCCGTATCGGGATCGTCAATTCGTACTTGAAATACTTTTAACTGTAAATAATCATTCATTTAACTGGCAAAAATCATATTTGTTCTATATGTTTTGCAATTTTTGTGTCTTTGTGTCACTCCAATAAACCTCCAGTTAACCTACTAAATGGTGTCAACTGGTGCGGTCCGCACCCCCGCCCCCCCCCCCCCCCCCCCCCCCCCGCCTCGCGACGCCTCTGAATAGGCCTACCTAAAACTCGTATTACTTAATAATTACATTTTAAATTTCATATTATACCCCAAAAAAATACATAGAAAAATGTGTTTTATTTAATTTTTATTTTTTCTCCCAGCATCCATGGCTATGTTGCCGACACTCTGCTTCCTGTTGGTCAGCCTTGGTGTCGTCTGCTGCACCAGATCCAAATCCGAACAGCTGTTCCGTCTGCTCAAGCCTGAAGACACCTACGTGGAAACCTCCCTGGACTCGGGTCGTTCTTTTGACCCCCAGCCAGTTGGCACCCTGGAGGAAAACAGAAACCATCCGTCATCTATCGATGCCAGCCAACTTCTAGCTCAACTCGGTCGGAACTTCGACAAGAGATACATGTCCATCACCGACCCCACTAGCACCGCAGCCAACCCCGGGGTTATCAGTTTTGTTGACGGTAGACCTAAAGGTCCACGACCAACCTTTCTTAAACTATTCCGATCTGCCAGGCTTCAAGACGACACGAAGATCCATCTCAATCTCGGCAACAGCGCTAGGAGTAAAGTCCAGAACTACATGTGGTCGCTCACCTACTGCCCAGTCGTTCACACCTGGGTGAATCTAGGAGCATCTTTCTGGCCCCAGTGGATTAAGAAGACAAGCTGCACGACGAAAAGATCCTGCTCGGTCCCCGCGGGGATGACCTGCCAGCCCAGCACCAACACCTGGAAGTTTATACTCAGATGGTCCTGTCAAGATCACGTCAACAGCACTGGCTGCAAGTGGATACCTCATCCATATAAAGTCATCACAGCTTGTTCATGCAAGTGTTAAATCTAATCCACTATCCAGCGATCCACAGCAAAAGGGGAAACAAATTCCGAATTTGTTTATTGTACAGAAGTCCACAGCCTGGTAATTTGCATTCTGTCCGATTTAAGAATGCATACAATGCCGCCCATCTTGAACTTTGTGGGTTCATCCAGGTGAAGACTTGATATTCAACACAACTTCAAAGTCCAGGATCAATGCAGTGAAATCTGCATTCACTTTGTCAAGACTACAAGCTCATCATTACAAAGCATAAAAAACACCAAGTATATGGATATCTAATGCAGATATCTATCATGTAGAATAATAAGCTCCGATATGGATTATGCCCTGTCTGAGAAACTGCCCATCCTAAGAATGAACATGGAATCGCAAACACGAACTCTTCTTGGGATTTATGAACATTTTGCCGCATGTTTATGTATACAACATGAACAAAGATGACAGGGCCACTTCATGAATTAAAATCTACATTTGTAAGATTGTACATTTTAAATATTTTCCACTTATTTATATCTTTTTAAAATACTAGCTTATGTTAGTAAAATTAACTTTCAAGTAATTATGTGCTTTCTAAAAAGCGACACAGATTTAAGTCAAACTGAATTGTATCCAATCTTGTTGGTTAATATGATCTCATACTGCTTTAAACTGATATGTTTATATAATTGTATATGTTTATATACTTAAACCTTATATAGGCTTATCATGTAACTAGGTTTGTTAAAATGGTATGAAATGAATGCTTACTCAAATTCTGTGTATAATTGTATAGAATGCTGTGTGGTGCTCTATCTATATGCTAGTATGTCATTAAATGTCAATGTCATGTGTGCAGACCAGATGTTATACTGTCACATGTATATATCATGTTGTATGTCAGGTTTGTCAATGCAAGGTTTGCATGTTATATTGTTAAGTGTACGCTTATATGTCAGTTGTGTATGTTATTTGTGCATATCAGGTGTCTAGGCTCATATGTCATTTGTGTTTGGCCATTATGTCATTTGTGTTTGGCCATTATGTCAGATGTGTTGGCCAAGTTATCAGATGTACACGCCTTATTAAATGTATGTCACGTTATTATTTAATGACAGATGCAGATGTCAAATTATAAGCTAATATCAGATGTACATGTCAGGTGTACATGTCAGGGGTACATGTAAGGTGTACATGTCAGAGGTATATTAATATGTCAGGTGTACATGTAAGGTGTACATGTCAGGGGTATATTAATATGTCAGGTGTACATGTCAGGTGTATAATAGTATGTCAGGTGTACTTATAAGAATGATGAATCTAATTGTATATAACCAGCTGTGATAAAAACATAATTTTATTATTATGTTATGTTACTGTCTTGACATCAATTGTCTATTTATTTAAACACATAATAAATTAAGAAATATAAAAAAGATTATTTGTTCTTGTTTTATATAAATAACGAGCCGACCCGCGGCGTATCATACGCCGCTATTTAGTTGTTTTATTTTCTACTTTTCAGTCATTCATAATTTGTGAATTCGACAGTACCAACGCTGCCACTGAAAATATTTGCTTTAAAACACAATCAATAGCTCGTTAAGGACGATAACCCCCTTCCCCTCCTTTCCCCAACCCCCCCCCCCCCCCCCCAACCCCCCCCCCCCCGTGAAAGTAAACTCCTCTTAGTTACCCCCCTTAAGTTTAAAATCGATTCAAACTAAATTATCTGCCCTTAATAGTCGTCACTAAACCGGGCTATACGATTGTTATGTAAACATTTAGCGTGATCCACAGCTCACAAGACCATGTGGGGGTGGGGGTGGTAGGGTGCGCTTACAGCTTGTTTTCTATCGTCTCCAAGAAGAGAATTATATATATATATATATATATATATATATATATATATATATATAGATGATTATAATTAACAACAATAAATGAAACTATTTCATAATAATGACATTTGTTTGATGATCTCCCTTTCTGCATTACACACTATGTGCACACAGTCACGTAAGTTTTGTTAATACAAACCACTGATTATGGTGTGCAAATGTGCACTGTTAATTTATAGGTATAAACTTTAAACATCTAAGTGCATGGTGGTTTAAGAGTACAAAAACAAAGTGCGCAACAAATGCAGGGGAATTAAAATTTAAAGATCAAAAATGTTATTTCTATGGTAGTGCATGACATAAGTCAAGGGAGGCCATTCTGTTTTATTAAAACTTTAACGCAGTGCATTGTTATGTCCCCTTTTAGACACGAAAACAGAAACGTGAAGTAAGAATAGTTCATTTTATTACGTTCGTAATAATTCCATGAACGATGTAAATGTTTACAACGTTACACAGATTCTATCAGCTTTGTCCAATATTTACATTTCTTAAATATCAAACACTTTTATTTTATTTTTTAAATCAGTCATTTTTTTTCTTCTATGAATATTTTCTGTTGAAATGAGGGGCGAGTTGGGTAGGTGTGGGGTAGTATAGAAAGTATATAGTTGATTTCAAACCCAAAAACTAGACATTTCTCTCCCTTCCCTCTCTTTTAAAACCACACACAATTAAATCTACAGCAACCGCTGCGATATTCTGTAATTATAGACAACGTTTTAATTCCCAATATTCGTGTCATTAAAACAAAAATGACACATACTTAAAAATTCACTCTTCGAACCATGGAGCAAAAAAAGTAGAGTTCACTTGTTTCTGTGACCTTGGCATATGAAGAGATAGCGTGATCAGCATTATGCCCAGCCGCCTTTACTTTCTCTAACTTGCGTTGAATACCCAGGTACACATCAGAGCTGAGTGGACTCAGGGACGTTCTACTGACTTGAGCTCGGATTCGAACTCGAGACTTTCGGATTAGCAGTCTAATGCTATGCTCTGTTATAAATAGACACAACAACAAAAAAGCTATAACTTAAAATATAAACAATAGTGATTGTTAATCAATGCATACATAGGACAATTGGAAACTAAGCTACAAGTAAAGTAAACATTCCCCGTTTCTAACACGATCTTTCTGACAACTAAAGTAGAGTTGATCTGTTTTATGAGAACCTTGAGAAACTTTAGTAAACATTATCAATGTTTGTTGGGTCTTAACATCGACAAAAACAACTTTAAAAACGTCTCGTGTTATGTACCAATGAATAATAAATGTTGTTTTTCACATAAAGTAGGCCTACATCGCGTCAAATCTCATGTGTTAAGTACCAATTAGTAATCAAAAATAAATTTTTAAAAATTCCCTTTTCTTTCTTTTGGAAATATTAGTAATTTTTCACATAAAGTGCATCGTGTACACATTCCATCGTGGTTTTAAATAGTACAAGATATAAATTGAAGATAAACTCGTAAGGGTGCCCTTCTACCTCAAACATAACAAGAAGTTTCTGTAAGTCAAGGTAAACGTGTCGGCTTTAAAGTTTCAACTTGTAGCGGTGTGCAGCGGTGTGCAGCGGTCACCTTGTGCACCGTATTGAGACGGCACTTTTAGTTTAACCCTACGCGCTAATATAGTACAAAACAACAGGATCCAAGTAAACTTGAGTACACTCCCCTGCGACAGAACATTATTCAGGGACACAGTGATAATCATACGACATCGACTATTTATAAATTAACATGCATCACGTATTTTAAGTGTCCCTTCAAAAATTCAAGAACCCTAATTGAAAAAAAAATAATCAGAGCAGAAGAAAGTCTACCGCCCCCCCCCCCCCCCCGAACGAGATGGAATTTATATAGTAAACATATACTTTTACTAGTGTCCGCCCCCGGAATATATATATATATATATATATATATATATATATATATATATATATATATATATATATATATATATATAATGGTAAATTTTTTTTATTTTGTTTTAGACATGATATTTTCAGGGCACCTTCAAATCGAGACGGCCTCTGTTTACGGGCAGATTGACCCCATGTCACCCTGCCCCTGAATCAGACGTGCACTCCCAATACTTGCTGTAAACATAACTGCACTCCACTGTTCCTGTTTTCGGCCACCCTATCCCACTGATCTAGTTCTATGCCTGATCGCCTGACTGATTTTATTTTTCAAGCAATGTTTTTTTTTTTTAAATTATAAAACCAGCGGCTCTCAAATGCATGCAATAGGGGTCGGACGAAAAGATGTTCACCAACGTCGTAGAAAAGACTATTATTTCCTGATTTGTTTTAAAGCTCGAAATATAGCTTTATAACTGTTGAAATAAAGATGTTGCAAATTGTTTTATTTCAAATCATGTGATTTTTATTATTTAATTATTACTCTAAAAATCACATTATTAGTTTTTCATAAGTCTGTCAGGTACCCATCATAGCTGGGTTGAATCAGGGACGTCCTACAGCCAGGTACCAATTAAAACTGAATAAACTCGGGAATGTCTCATCATGAGGTACCCATGACAGCTTGGTGGAATCAAGGACGTCCTTGGGTCAGGCACCATTATAAACTGAGTGAACTCAGGGACGTCCTAAGGTCTGGTAATTATCTCAGCTGGATGGACACAAGGTGAGGTACTCTTTAGAGCTGAGTGTACTCAGTGACGCTTTAACGTCAGGTAGCTACAAGAGCTTTGTGGAATCAGGGAGATCCTACAGTTAGGTACCCATTAAAACTGAATAGACTCAGGCCACATTGAAACTGGGTGAACATCCTACGGACTCGCGTTGATTTATATTTAAAAATATAAATCTTTTTGCTCCAATCATTGCGTTGGTATAGGCAGAGATATGGTCGTGTTCTTGATATAGCCGTCACTGCACATTTATGTAGCGCGTATGTCTAGGACTCTATCCTAAGACAAGATGAAGAGAAGATCCCCTATAAACAGTGCTGGATTTAATGAACTTTTGTTTTTAAAAGCCAAAATAGAAGGGTATTTATTGTTTCTGTGGGGTGGGTTGATGGGATATGGGCTTTTTAACTAGAGCTCGATTTAATGAACTTTTTTTTTTTTTTTTCTGCCTCAGACATGTAGTTTACAGCGTCTGTTGTGTGTTCGCTTTAGTATTACAGTTTTCATCATCGGCTTGTGAGGACTGATACAGATTTATTGAACTAAACACGCATAATTTTGATTTATTTTGGTAATGGCCAAAAGGTAACGGTATGACATAACTTTAAGGGCACATCATAGAATCTTTATTCTCACGGTTTGAGAACCGTATCGGTCGTAATTTATTGAAATAAGCTAGATCAAGTTGACCCACTGAATTTAACCACCATTAACCCAGTTAACACTGCTTTATTACGCAACCTAGACTAATTTATGCATTTTTTTATAAAAAGTAATTTTAACTCTTGAAATCTAATTTAAAAAAAAAAAAAAACATCTTTGAAAACATTTTGACAGAACGATCTCCCCTGGTAAAGTTCCAATGCATCAGTGGCTTCCCTTGTGAGACGCGACATGAATAACAGTCTTGTTCCGGTGTAAACGTTTGGGCGATGGTCTGATATCAGGACCGGTGCAGTCTTCACATTCTCCGCTAGCTTAGAACAAACGAGGCTGATGTGTACACCGAGAAGTAAATGTACAGGACAGTCCTGTGGAATTGCTACATTCTAAAATGTGAAATTTTGAAGAAAACAAAATTGACGGCTAGGGGCAGAAAAATGTACCGCAATGACTAGATGTTGCCATACAAGTAACCATAATCACAGTTCTAGCCCTCGAATTAAAGTGACTCGCTGATCCATTATCTCCATTTAACTCATACAAGTGATGCAGTCCTTGTCTTTAACATATCGGCTAAGAAACCAGGGTTTCTACCTGGCACCTTCCACGGAGCAAAATATCCGGAAGAAACACTCTAAGAAACATGCACAATGATTTCAGATAACATAGGAAATATTTCTATTCCTGGTATTTTGTACTCAGTGGCATAGCCAGGATCGTCTCAAGGGGGGAGGGTTCCAATTTTTACCCGGGGACAAACTTTTGATTTGCATCCCCCCCCTCAAGCTTTCGATTTGCACCTCCCCTCATACTTTATATATATACCGAGGGGTCTATAGGGGGGGGGGGTTATGACCCCCCTAACTCCCCCTGCCTACGCCACTGTTTGTACTGCTTTAAAGACTTGGAATAAATGACGATAAATAATGGGAAATAAGGGAAGTAAGAGAAAATAAGAAACACCAACAGCTTACAGCCGAAAATATAAAAATGTTGTGCATAAAGTGGTGGAACCCCTCAGAGTTTCTTCCCGAATTTTTTTACCGCCCCCCCCCCCTCCCGAACGAAATAAAATTTATATAACTTATATAGAAAATATATACTTTTAACAGTGTCCGCCCCCCCCCCCCCCCGAAGAAAGTTTACCGCCCCCCGAAGATTTCAAGTGACCCCCCCCCCCCCCCGGAGAAAAAAGTCTGGAAGTAACACTGGAACCCCTACACTCAGGAAAATATCGTTTGGACCCTGAGTTCTATGTAAAAATTATGTCATCGACATAAGAGAAACATTCTAATATCAACACTACGTCTTGTGTATACATCAACTAAGCTATATAATACATCGACATGAACAAATTAGTATTTCAAAACTACATGTTTTGTGCATCGTAGGGGTGTGTGGGGTGGGGGGTGGTAATTTAAGGTTGCTCATGCGTGTCTAAACAAGTGAAGCTTTTCATAAACACAATAAACAAAAAACTTCAGTGTTCATCAGCTCGACTGGGCCACGATAGGGCAGAACGAACCTGGTTTTGATTATACAACATGTAGACCAGGGGTCGTGTCCCCCTCGAGTCTAGAGTGGCCAAGGTTAGGTCGCCTACAAAAAAAAACGTCGTACACCTTACATGCAAGACACATCAAACATGCAAGATTACATACACATACATGCAAGACACATCATACATGCAAGATTACATAAACATACATGCAAGATACATCATACATGCAAGATTACACACACATACATGCGAGACACATTATACTTGCAAGATTACATACACATACATGCAAGACACATCAAACATGCAAAACACATCATACATGCAAGACACATCAAACATGCAAGATTACATCCACATACATGCACGATTACATACACATACATGCAAGACACATCATACATGCAAAACACATCATACATGCAAGACACATCATACATGCAAGACACATCAAACATGCAAGACACATCATACATACAAAAGTTAATTTAAAAACAATAAAGTTAGCAATTAACCCAAAATGCTAAAATTTCATTAGTGCAAAAAAAAGGTTTTAATAAGTGCTTGTTTAAAATGTGGAGGGCAGCTACTCTAGCCATTCACCATAGAAATACAATTATTTCGTTGTGATACATTGGTCTAGGTTCTAGAGCCTATTTGTCACGCTAGAGATAACAGATACACTCATGTCTTTATTGCTGTAAATACACTAGGACGTTAGCAAGCTTGTATATTATTTGTGTGTTGTATTTGGTTGTGAATTGTTAGCTATTGTTACGTCCCTTGGGTTATATCTATTTTGATGTCCTTTGAAAGTCAAGTCGCTGTGTACTTTGTAGCTGTGTTGTTGATGTCAGTGAGTTAGCTAATTATAAGTCTTGAGACGAACGTGTCGTCGGAGCTGTACTAAGAATGAATTATAAAGTTTTGAAGTGAATTTGATGGCGTCGATTGTTCACTTCAAATGCTAGAAAATATGTCATGTTACAACGTACCCATCCACCTTTACCGCCTGATTCCCATCTACCCATCCACCTTTACTCCCCCCATCTACCCATCCACCTTTCCTCCCTGACTCTCTGACTCTCTGACTCCCATCTACCCATTCATCTTTACTCCCTGATTCCCATCTACCCATCCACCTTTACTCCCCCCATCTACCCATCCACCTTTACCTCCTGACTCCAATCTACCCATCCACCTTTACCTCCTGACTCCCATCTACCCATCTGCATTGACTCCGTGACTCCCATTTACCAATCCACATTTTAGAGTTAAACAACGTACAAAATATCGCACCCACCAACCCCCCCCCCCCCTTCCCCCCCCCTCCCCTGCTTCCCTCCACAATACCCGCTGTACTGCAATAAAACTACATAAACGGTTTGCATAGAAAACTTCATCATACAAAACATAGGATCGTCAGACTTTACCATACAAATAGACACCGCTTTGATTTGCTGACTGCCCCTACGGCTCGCACAGGGGGTACAGAAATAGCACCTGGTATTCTATTGACAAATAGTTTTAGCGGCATCGCCACACCACAAAAGACTGAACAAAATATTTAGCGGCTGGGGGAAGATGGGTGGAGGTAACACTCTTGAGGGCGGATCTAGCTTTGAGTTTTGCGAGGGATACACACACACACACATACACACACACATACACACACACATATATTAATATATATATATATATAAATATATAATATTTACATAATATATATATATATATATATATAGGCCTATATATATATATATATATATATATATATATATATATATATATATATATATATATATATATATATATATATATATATATATATATATATATATATATATATATATGGTTAGGTCTCCATGCATTGCTAGAGATTTCCCATAACTATACAACTAGACGTATAAAACAATTAAGAACAGAACAAATGCCATGACACATAACACATAAATAAGCAAAAGAGGTTGTTAACTTTTTAAAGGCCAACAATTGTTCCAAAAAAAATGCGACGAAAGTTTTTATTTTGAGTTAGTTCATTCGAGAAACCCCATTGATAATTTAAGATCTTAATTCAATGAAGATAATGAATTTCTCAAGAGCTAATCATCAATGAAGTTAGAATTCTCGTTTTAATGTCACGCCTCTACCTTTATTATTTTATTATTTTAACTGGATAAAACAATGCTTTGACAGGATGACAGGAAATTTTACGCTTTTTCGAAATTGTGTCACCCCCTGAGGACCTCGCACCCCCCCCCCCCCACCACCACTCCGCTGTGTAACGCCGCTGACTCCATGATCAGTACTACAGCTTAAACAGGGGGACTACCTTAAAACATGGAGCTTAAATAAAGGCACAACTCTAGTAGTGGCATAGTCTCAAGTGAAACACTCCACCAGTTAGATTGTGAAACAAAAAGTAGTGCCTGGTCTAGTCCTATTTTTTAACTGCCGACTATCTTTATTTAAAAAAAAAATGTTCGATAAAGAAATATCAGACTACTCCTATATCTAGTTCAGCTAGGGATCGTACACATACTCGTTAACACTTAAAGGTCGGTAATGGTTCATGTTTCATTAAATAGTTGGTTATATTATGTAGGGGTCGGGATAGATTAGAGAGTAAAACCCCTATAATTTCACGGTCACTTGGTTTCATAAAAAATCATGTTGATATTTTTTTTTAAAATTTATAAAACCTTGGTAAATTAATCCTGAGAGTTACAGCAACGTCACAAATACTTTGTTTTCCGAATGTGTCGATTAAACACGTAGACTAAACCACCATCTCCATCTGACTGTGCGTTCGTCCGTTCGTATGTGAAAACCTAGCTCTAGCATAAAGTATTCTTATCAGATTACATGTTAGTTACACTATTTTTATGTGTACATAGCGTTTGTATACCAACAGCTATCTAGACTCCGCCTACTGACTTAAGCGAACTGGAAAAGAATATATATAAAGAAACGCAGGAGTCAAATGTGTTATTTTATGGTGCGGTTTTCTACGTTTCGATAAGTGTTAGGACTATAAACTAGCAGTAATAAAACTAATACGTGTCTTTATTGAAGTGGAGTTGTATGGCCATACACTTTAGCGAGCGATCTCCGGTTGACTTTCAATGTGTTATTGTAATATTTCACGTCTAGAATTAAACTGAAAATTTATTTGATCAGAAAATTGTGGATATATAAACAGAAGAACTCTGCTTCTACTGCTGTAAGGTAAACCAGATCTCAGACATGTATATGATGTTTTTTTTCTTAAAATGTGGCTGTTTTAAACTCACCAGAATGATTGTGTTAACAACCTATGTAAAGTTCTATAACATAATTATAAAAGTAAGTTTTTTTTTCAAAATCTACTAATAGAGAGGGAATGAAGATGTGTAGTAATGTAATGAAATATTTTTTCCACATACTAAATAGTACAAATTATAATTCAAATGGTAAAAAATAAACGGTATTTTTTTTCCACATAAACATTTCAGTGTGTTTTCGCGAGGGATTTTCAATGATTGGATAAGAATTTCATACTAACTGTGACTAAAAAGTATTAACGTATTGTTAAAATAACATAAACAATGACGTTAAATTCAGATAGTTAAACGAAATGTAAAATTTGTGCACTTGAATCATCAAATAACTAGTTTTTCAAAATAAAAATATTCATGCGCTTGTAAAAAAAAATGTATGCTAAAATTGCATCATATCTAAACAATTCTATCTATAACAATCGTTGTTATATGGTTGTTATTCTTCTTCGTTAATTAAGTACTATTTGCCAATATGTTATGTGATATATGACACGTCGACTTCGATTTCAGCCTACTTTTTTATGGATTTACTTCCCTTTTGTCTTTCGACAAACAAACCACATGGCAGAAGTTGTTTTATTTTTTTAAACTTTTTGTGCTAAATGGGTTGCTGTCATGAGCAATGGAGCGTCATCTACCCGGGGATTCGAACTCGTGGTTTATGGGTTGGGAAATGATCTTCTTTACCATCCCGACAACGCCAACCACCGATTTTTCGCTGTATCAAGGACATTATTGATGTGCCTTCATGTGTCTTTATTTTTCTCACTGTTTTTTTTTTTTTTATTTATCACAGTCACGATGCTGCTGTTGTTGCTGATGCTGTATCTGTACGTGTGCCACGCCCTGTCCCCTGACCCCACCGTCACCTCACCCAGCGGCAAGTACCGTGGTACGACCCTCACCTCGCCAGCTGGACTTCGCTACAACGCTTTTCTGGGGATCCCGTTCGCGCTACCACCTACAGGGGCTCTCAGATTTGCTAAACCCGTCCCTTACCCAAAGATTGAAGTAAGTCTGTAGATATCATGGATTATTTCACTTTCCTAAATAAGGTCCAATTATTTCTTTTTGTGTCTTATAATAGATTATGTTACTTTCGCAAACAAGGAAAACATATTTATTTCTGTAAATTAGTTATATTCCTATATATAAGGCTGGAAATAAAAATGCTTGTTAAATACCTTCACGGTGCTAATTATTTATTTTTATTAGGTTGTATACATTTCTTAAAAATCTGATCTCTATTAAATTTCATTATTTCCGTTTGATTTTTTGTGTTTAAGGCTGCTCACAACAAAATGTCCCTGTCTATTTCTACAGGATGTCTTCATCGCCACCAAACGTGGCCCTGTGTGTATACAATCACTGGGTGTAGATCTGGGCACACAGGCCGATGAAGACTGTCTCTATTTGAATGTATACCTTCCCATTCATGTAAGTTGGGTATTGCATTCGCCAGTACACCCACCGTAAAGATTTTTTTGAAATGCATCAATGCTATTTACTTTATAGAATTTTTTCACCATCAGTCCCATCTATTAGTTTTTCTTTATTTTGACAAAAAACTAAATTGATGTCTTAGTTTATTCCCTCCCAAATACACATGTATTTTCTAAAGACAGCATCGCCACATCAGACGCTATTTATTTATGAACATATCTTAGTTACATTTGGTTTCATCTCTCCCTTTCCTAGGCAGAATCGAACCCTAACCATTTAAAGAAAGTCTTTGTCTACATCCACGGTGGCGGCTACTTCATGGGTTCTGCTAATGAACAGGTGCCAGGTGATCTAGTTACACAGGTGAGAGGTGATCTAGTTACACAGGTGAGGAGATCTAGTTACACAGGTGAGATGTGATCTAGTTACACCGGTGAGAGGTGGTCTAGTTACACAGGTGAGGTGGTCTAGTTACACAAGTGATCTAGTTACACAGGTGAGAGGTGATCTAGTTACACAGGTGAGAGGTGGTCTAGTTACACAGGTGAGGTGGTCTAGTTACACAAGTGATCTAGTTACACAGGTAAGGTGATCTAGTTACACAGGTGAGAGGTGATCTAGTTACACAGGTGAGGTGGTCTAGTTACACAGGTGAGAGCTGATCTAGTTACACAGGTGAGAGGTGATCTAGTTACACAGGTGAGAGGTGATCTAGTTACACAGGTGAGAGGTGATCTAGTTACACAGGTGAGAGGTGGTCTAGTTACACAGGTGAGAGGTGGTCTAGTTACACAGGTGAGATGTGATCTAGTTACACAGGTGAGAGGTGATCTAGTTACACAGATGAGAGGTGATTTAGTTACACAAGTGAGAGGTGATCTAGTTACACAGGTGAGAGGTGATCTAGTTACACAGGTGAGGTGATCTAGTTACACAGGTGAGAGGTGATCTAGTTACACAGGTGAGAGGTGATCTAGTTACACAGGTGAGAGGTGGTCTAGTTACACAGGTGAGTGGTGATCTAGTTACACAGGTGAGAGGTGATCTAGTTACACAGGTGAGAGGTGATCTAGTTACACAGGTGAGAGGTGGTCTAGTTACACAGGTGAGAGGTGATCTAGTTACACAGGTGAGATGTGATTTAGTTACACAGGTGAGAGGTGGTCTAGTTACACAGGTGAGATGTGACCTAGTTACACAGGTGAGAGGTGATCTAGTTACACAGGTGAGAGGTGATCTAGTTACACAGGTGAGAGGTGATCTAGTTGCACAGGTGAGAGGTGGTCTAGTTACACATGTGAGATGTGATTTAGTTACACAGGTGAGAGGTGGTCTAGTTACACAGGTGAGAGGTGATCTAGTTACACAGGTGAGAGGTGGTCTAGTTACACAGGTGAGAGGTGATCTAGTTACACAGGTGAGATGTGATCTAGTTACACAGGTGAGAGGTGATCTAGTTACACAGGTGAGAGGCGGTCTAGTTACACAGGTGAGATGTGATCTAGTTACACAGGTGAGAGGTGATCTAATTACACAGGTGAGAGGTAATCTAGTTACACAGGTGAGAGCTGATCTAGTTACACAGGTGAGAGGTGATCTAGTTACACAGGTGAGAGGTGATCTAGTTACACCGGTGAGAGGTGATCTAGTTACACAGGTGAGAGGTGATCTAGTTACACAGGTGAGAGGTGGTCTAGTTACACAGGTAAGGTGATCTAGTTACACAGGTGAGAGCTGATCTAGTTACACAGGTGAGATGTGATCTAGTTACACAGGTGAGAGCTGATCTAGTTACACAGGTGAGAGGTGATCTAGTTACACAGGTGAGAGGTGATCTAGTTACACAGGTGAGATGTGATCTAGTTACACAGGTGAGTGGTGATCTAGTTACACAGGTGAGAGGTGATCTAGTTACACAGGTGAGAGGTGATCTAGTTACACAGGTGAGAGGTGGTCTAGTTACACAGGTGAGAGGTGATCTAGTTACACAGGTGAGATGTGATCTAGTTACACAGGTGAGAGGTGGTCTAGTTACACAGGTGAGATGTGATCTAGTTACACAGGTGAGAGGTGATCTAGTTACACAGGTGAGAGGTGATCTAGTTACACAGGTGAGAGGTGATCTAGTTGCACAGGTGAGAGGTGGTCTAGTTACACATGTGAGATGTGATTTAGTTACACAGGTGAGAGGTGGTCTAGTTACACAGGTGAGAGGTGATCTAGTTACACAGGTGAGAGGTGGTCTAGTTACACAGGTGAGAGGTGATCTAGTTACACAGGTGAGATGTGATCTAGTTACACAGGTGAGAGGTGATCTAGTTACACAGGTGAGAGGCGGTCTAGTTACACAGGTGAGATGTGATCTAGTTACACAGGTGAGAGGTGATCTAGTTACACAGATGAGAGGTAATCTAGTTACACAGGTGAGAGCTGATCTAGTTACACAGGTGAGAGGTGATCTAGTTACACAGGTGAGAGGTGATCTAGTTACACCGGTGAGAGGTGATCTAGTTACACAGGTGAGAGGTGATCTAGTTACACAGGTGAGAGGTGGTCTAGTTACACAGGTAAGGTGATCTAGTTACACAGGTGAGAGCTGATCTAGTTACACAGGTGAGATGTGATCTAGTTACACAGGTGAGAGCTGATCTAGTTACACAGGTGAGATGTGATCTAGTTACACAGGTGAGAGGTGATCTAGTTACACATGTGAGATGTGATCTAGTTACACAGGTGAGAGGTGATCTAGTTACACAGGTGAGAGGTGATCTAGTTACACAGGTGAGAGTTGATCTAGTTACACAGGTGAGAGTTGATCTAGTTACACAGGTGAGATGTGATCTAGTTACACAGGTGAGCTTAGGTTAGGGTTAGGCTTAGAAATAGTAACGATAAAACTCTTTCATAGTCAATGGTTATTTAAAAGATTGTATGGCCAAAACAATTTTAGCCGCTAATATTTTTTTCTCAACATATCACGCTATACACAGTTTGGAGAGTTCATTGTTTTCCATCTCGTGTTCTCACTCCTTTTAATGTGTGTGTCTCCCTATTTCTTTATCTATCTCTAAATTTTACAGGGGGTGTGGCACGGTAAAAGTATATATTTTCTACATCATATCTATTTCGACGGTGGGGGGGGGGGGATGAGACAGGGTAGACGTGCTTCGAGGTACCAGAGGCGTAGCGACCCTTCCGGGATTTCGATTTGCACCCCCCTCAAACTTTCAATTTGCACCCCCTTCAAACTTTCAATTTGTTTTTCCAACCCATTTTGGCGCCCCCTAAGGTCGGCGCCCGAGGACATATGTCCCCCCCCCCCTCGCTACGCCTCTGCGGGGTACTTCTCCCAAGAGATGCTTGAAAAAAGCATTGATGGAATTTCGTTCTCTCCATTGTGAGGCCCCCACACCATCTAGTTATAAAACATAGGTTTAGGAACTCTGATAAATCCACATGTTTTACTTGTGCTTGTTCCGCTTTGTGGTCAAGGTCAAGACTAGTTATTTCCTTCCAGCATGACGTCATCGTCGTGACCTTGAACTATCGCCTCAGCTGGCTCGGGTTTCTACGAGCAGACGACCCCCAACTCCCGGGTAACCAGGCGATATGGGATCAAATCCTGGCGCTCAAGTGGGTCAGAAAAAACATTCGGTCGTTCGGCGGAGATCCGAACCACATCACCATAGGCGGCAACTCCGTGGGCAGCATAAGTGTATCAGTTCTCAGCATCGTCCGACAGGCCAAGTATTTATTCCACAGGGTACGAAAATAGATTTTCTCATTGAGATCAAATAGGCATATTTCAAAATAATCCATACTTTGGTTGTAAGGAAATGAAAAAATACTTTACGAATGTAGCTTTGACGCTTTGATATATATATATATATATATATATATATATATATATATATATATATATATATATATATATATATATATATATATATATATTAAATTGTGTATTATGTATAAGCCTGTGTTTAATGTATAATTACGATTCGATCATTCTCAGGCTTTTCTCATGAGCGGTTCAGCCTTTCAGAACGTGTTCACAGCCAGTGGCTCCCCAGCCCTTGTCTTAGAGTACATCTCCAACACCGTGGGCTGTACCTCCGCAGACTTGCAGGATAAAATACAGTGTTTAAAAACTCTGCCATCCAGCGCCTACGTTCTTCCTATCATAGGCACCTTTCCCCTGCTCTTCTTAAGCCGGGACGGGGAGCTGTTCCCGGCTCCCATAATGGAGCTGGTAAAAAACACGACTTACTTGAAGCATGTGGGATTTTTTGAGCGGGATTACCTGGTCAGCATTACCAATAACGAGGGACCTATAGCCATGGTTGGACTATTTTCCATGGGAATCGGTATGTCACATGTTACTATAGTTTACGTTCATACGTACGTCAAGAATTTGTTGTTTTGTAGCAAATAATGAATGCACAATTTAAACAATACAAAAATGGACAGAATTTTAAAAAATGGACAGAATTTAAAAAAAAAATATTACTTACGAAAAGTGTGTGATTTTTTTCACAATATTCTTTGTTTAAAATAACACACACTCTCTCTCTTTATATATATATGTGTGTGTATATATATATATATATATATATATATATATATATATATATATATATATATATATATATATATATATATACATATATATATATATATATATATATATATATATATATATATATATATATATATATATATACATATATATATATATATTTATTTATTTATTTATTTATTTATTTATTTATTTATTTATATATATATAACCATTACGCAAGACTAAAATTCTATTCCAACAGACCCAACCAACTTCACAATTGACCATCTCAGCCAAATCCTTCAGACGACGCCAACTATCGCCCAGATGACCCTGGACTTCTACACTGGTCTTAAACTGCCCTTCCCGACCTTATATCATTTGATAGGAGACTACATCTTAGACATACCCACACTCAATTTTATAAAGGTGTTAACCTCTTACGTCACTGGTAAGAAAATAATGCTTGGGTCTAGTCATACATTGGATACATCAGAAGAAGTAACTTGAAGTGATGTATCGATATTAGTGCACACCAAGGGCGTAGCGAGGGGGGGGGGGGGGGGGCGGGGGGTGCGGACCGCACCGGGTGACACCATTTAGGGGGGTGACACCAAGGCAAAAAATAGCAAAATATATAGGAAAAAACTCGAGGGGGGGAGGTGCAAATCGAAAGTTTGAGGGGGGGGGGGTGCAAATCGAAAATTTGAAAGTTTGTCCCTGGGAAGGGTCTCTATGCCTCTGGGGGGTGACACCATTAAGTGCCGCACCGGGTGACACCCGACCTCGCTACGCCACTGGTGCACACTGAATAGATATTTAAACTTCTTAATGCAATTTTTTTCTCCCAGACTACTAAAATACTATAGATATAGGAATTTTTTGAACATTGTTATTTATTTGATTTTACAATGTTTTATATTTAATTTAAAAAAAATTATTTTAACAAAATGATTTTTTTAAAACTAATTCTGCTACACGTATAGAGGTACATCATATATCCATTCATTAGTGCGGTGGCGTAGCGAGGTCGGGTGTCACCCGATGCGGCACTTAATGGTGTCACCCCCCAGAGGCGTAGTGACCCCGGGGACAAACTTTCGAATTTTCGATTTGCACCCCCCCCCCCTCAAACTTTCGATTTGCACCCCTCTCAAGTTTTTCTCTATATATTTTGCTATTTTTGCCTTGGTGTCACCCCCCCCCCCCTAAATGGTGTCAACTGGTGCGGTCCGCACCCCCCGCCCCCCTCGCTACGCCTCTGCATTAGTGCATTATATAGTACTATAAATTAATCCATCTATACATATTACGGTGTACTATACATTTATTTATTTATTCATATTACACAGCACAATTTTTGAAAAACTGATTAAACTCCGACATATACATATATGAAAGATGAATTATATCTCATTTTTTTAGACTACCACAAACGAGCCTACTACATGGTACTCAACTACACCCCTACACTTGTGCCGCCACTGCTCAACGGTTTTCCTCACGCTCTGGACGTGTCCTACCTTTTTGACATCAGACCAGATGACGTGATCAAGTTGTATTATCGTGTGAACACTGGCTTAGATTTCACCGAAGAGGACAGAAAGCTGAAAAAGGTCTACATGAACATTGTAGCAGGCTTCATTAAGAAGGGGTGTGTACCTGATTTATATTTAAAAATGGATTTCAGGGAGGGAACTCTAATATTAGATCCCGGATCGTTAATGTCAATGATGAGTTAACTGACTTTGACTTACTTGACTTAAATCATTTTTACTTCTCGAATATACTAAGTACAGAGAAATTCTTTTAATCGTGCAAAAAAAAAAAATCGAGATTTTTTGGAAATTTCGACGTTTTACAGCTCCCTGAGTCGGAAAAACATAGTTTTGTAATCTTGTCCGTATGTCTGTCTGTGTGTATTTGTGTCAGTTTGTGTGTGCGTATGTAAACATGATAATTTGAGTACCGTTACAGCTGGGTTGATGAAATTTCATATATAAGTATTATATCAAAATCATAGATCCTTATAAACTTTTGAGCGATTTCCGATAAACGGAAGTGGAACTTTTTCTACTTTGAATTTTTCAAAAGCTTATAACTTGATAGATAAATGAAATTTCACATGTTAGTAAAAGATCTAATCCTTTGCCTTCTATCAAATTTTGAGTAACTTCCGTTGACCAGGAAGTAGTAATTTATGCTATTTCCGATTTTTCGAAAAAAAAAACGCATGTGAATTTATAAAGTACTAATAATATTCCGATCTATTATACACATTTTGTTTGGCGTTCACTTTTTGTGCAATTATTTTTTCTACGAGATTCTATTCTATTTTAAAAAGTTTAAGCATTTAAAATGGATTAAAAATCATGTCTATATCCCGAGTTGCCATCCCCTTTAGTTTCATATTAAAAAATTCCAGAAAGTTTAGGGGAGATCACTCCCGGTTTATTTCTCATTGTGGAGCATAGGGCCTTAACTATAAAGTTCCATTTTGTCCTATCCCTTGCTGTTTATTTTGCAACCTCACAAGACATCCCTGCTGTCTTCAGTTCTTGAAGAAAACTCCGTCTCCAGGTCTGTCGTGGAAGCCCTCTATTCCGCCTTCCCTGGGGGTTCCACTCAAGTGCTTGGCGTGTCATATTCGTGAGAGTCTTTCGCAGTGTGTGCCCCACCCAGCACCACTTCCTCCTTCTTTTTGAACTGTCAGAGGCTCCTGCCTTGTCCTTCTCCATAGGTCTATAATAAGCACTATGTCCCTACTCCTCACTTTCAGATTTTGTCTGAGACATTTGTTGTTGAAGGTCTGTATGTTGACTATGGAGGTCACGGAGACTCACTGGTCTATGTTCCGTATAACTAACTGCCTTGACGTTTGAATTTAGAATCCTATTTTTTGTCATTTTGGAAATGGCAAAATTTTACCACACAGCTCTTGGAACTATGAAAGCGTAGCGGGCTCAATTAATTCTTGCTCTGATTTATTCCTCTGTGCTTGGTTGATTGGTTGATCTTACTAAATTAATGGAATAGTAAGTTTTCAAATATAACATGAAAAGCATGTTGAATTATTAATCACACTTTAAAATTTTTAAAGTTGTATTTCTTATTCCTTATACTGATATCCATTTATCAGCCTGTTGTTGCGGGAGAAGGGGGGGGAGGGTTGGTGGGATCTCATGACAAATGGGTAATATACGTTTTCCTTTTACATGCGTTTGTTTCAAGGTTTCATGTACAATGTCGATTTTATTTTCGGACATTTTTTAAGGCCCTGATCTTCTATGTGTTGTTCTTTACTATGTAGTTTTAGCGTTCTCCAAATTAGCTGGTGTTCAATGTATTTCCGCCATATGTAAATATTTTTTATTTTTTATTCCAGAGACCCAAGCTGGACACTGGCGTCCAACCTGACCTGGCCACCTTTTGACCTGAGGTCCCAACACTTCCTCAACTTTGACCAGAGCCCGCATGTAGACCAGTTCCCCATACACCAGAGACAGATATTTTGGGAGACCACGTTCAACAGCATGTTATAAAGTACCGGACACAGGGTCCAGTTTGGTCAATTGTAAAATACTGGACATATAAAACTGGCCAGCATTCTAGCGTGGATCAGACTTACGATAAATGACGCTGAAGTTAATCTAATCCCAAGGATAACCCATACTACTCATTGGCGTAGCGAGGTCGGGTGTCACCTGGTGCGGCACTTAATGGTGTCACCCCCCCCCCCCCAGAGGCGTAGCGACCCTTCCCGGGGACAAACTTTCAAATTTTCGATTTGCACCCCCATTAAACTTTCGATTTGTACCCCCCCTCAAACTTTCGATTTGCACCCCCCCCCCCCTCCCTCAAGTTTTTGATTTGCACACCCATCCCCTCAAACTTTCGATTTGCACCCCCCCCCCCTCAAGTTTTTGATTTGCACCCCCCCCACCTCAAACTTTCTATTTGCACCCCCCTCAAGTTTTTCTCTATATATTTTGCTACTTTTTGCCTTGGTGTCACCCCCCTAAATGGTGTCACCCGGTGCGGTCCGCACCCCCCGCCCCCCCCCCCTCGCTACGCCCCTGATACTACTGTAAGCTTTAAATTAACCTTAACCCAACTTATATGGATCTACCCACCACTAAATCAAGTAACACGGTGACAAGGATACAACAGCCCAAGTATGAATTTTTTTTAAAGGAAACAGATATAGATATAAACAATGTTCTAAAAAAATTCTTTGATAATATGACTGAGAAAATGGCATCGAATAATAACATGATTTTGAGTATTTTGTATTACTTGCAGTGTTATTAAAATGTGATTTTAACACGTTTTAAATGTATTTTTGTACAATGTTTGAACACATTCAATATTTTTGTTGTATTAGGTAACTATTCTGAGAATACTCTCATCAAACTGAACTCATGTGAACGAGTACAAAAGACTTGACATTGATAATAAAAATAACGACATCAATGTAAATTCAGACGGCGTGGCCGAAGCGGTAGAGCGCTAGGATACTAACCCGCAAGTCTCGAGTACAAGTCCGGGTCTAAGTCGAACGACGTTGATTCCCCCAGCTCATATTTTACTCATATTTGAGAAAGTGAAGAGAGATGAGCAAAGTGCTTACCACACCTACTCTTCATATACCGAGGTAAAAAATCATATACACTCTACTTCAACTGACCATTGGATATCTATGTCGAAAGATGCTTGTTTTTTTTCTTTCATGTTGGCTCTAGGTAGATGAGGCTCGATAGATAGGGACAACAACTCATCTAGGAGAGACAACTCCACCTGGTGCCTTGTAGTTTGTTCTTGGGTGGACAAAGGTTATGGCAGCACAAACAAAGTAGGCTGAAATAGGAGTCAAGAGCCTATATAGCGCATAGCAAGTTGACACATAATACTTAATCGTGTTGGAGGAAATCCCATGCAAAATTAAAAATAAAGAACGAAGAAGAAGAAAAGAAAGAAACCAATTGCATAAATTAAGATTTGAAGACTGAAATGTACTTTTATTTTATTAGCTTAATACATCAATGTTATATCTATATATATAAAGCAAAGTGGTCGGGTGCCCGATAGGGCACTTCCCGGCGCCGCAGGCGCGTCAAATTTGGCACGATGGTGCCTTGGGGCGATAGAACACGAGGGCCGGTGACGGTTGGCCGAAAAGTCTACGGAGAGGGGGTCAAAACTGACCTCGACTGACCGGCGCCTTATATGGGCTATATTAAGAAAAAAAAATTCCTCCGACGACCCCCCTTGAAATTTTGTGAGGTGGTAGGAGAACCCCTTGGGGTGTCACAAAAAACTCGGCATATCTGGGAAAACTTCGTAAAGGGGTCAAAACTGACCAGTCGTATTTCCCTATATAATCTTTGTATTTTATGGGGAAAACAGAGGGTCATTTCAAAACGGATTTTAGGGCACTTACCTTCTTTCCATCTGGCTAAGTTTTGGCATGCTTATAGGTAAATGGCTTGGCCGTAGGGCAGACATGTCCGTTTCACTCAAAGCCCTCGACGAGGGCTAAAAAGTGACCGCGAGTGAAATTCTCTTTATATGAGCTCTATTACGGAAAAAAATTTCCTCCGACGACCCCCCTTGATATTTTGTGAGGTGGTAGGAGAACGCCTGGGGGTGTCAGAAAAAACTCGGCATATCTGGGAAAACTTCGTAAAGGGGTCAAAACTGACCAGTCGTATTTCCCTATATAATCTTTGTATTTTATGGGGAAAACAGAGGGTCATTTCAAAACGGATTTTAGGGCACTTACCTTCTTTCCATCTGGCTAAGTTTTGGCATGCTTATAGGTAAATGGCTTGGCCGTAGGGCAAACATGTCGGTTTCACTCAAAGCCCTCGACGAGGGCTAAAAAGTGACCGCGAGTGAAATTCTCTTTATATGAGCTCTATTACGAAAAAAAATTTCCTCCGACGACCCCCCTTGAAATTTTGTGAGGTGGTAGGAGAACGCCTTGGGGTGTCACAAAAAACTCGGCATATCTCGGAAAAATCGGGAAACGGGTCAAAACTGACCAGTTGTATTTCCCTATATAATCTTTGTATTTTATTGGAAAAACAGAGGGTCATTTCAACGCAGGCTTTAGGGTACTTAAACTCAGTATATCTGGCTAAATTTTTGCATACTCTTAGGTCAATGGCTTGACCTTTAGGGAAAACTGTCGGTTTCACTCAAAGCCCTCGACGAGGGCTGAAAAGTGACCGCGAGTGAAATTCTCTTTATATGAGCTCTATTACGAAAAAAATTTTCCTCCGACGACCCCCCTTGAAATTTTGTGAGGTGGTAGGAGAACGCCTTGGGGTGTCACAAAAAACTCGCCATGTCCGGGAAAAATCGGGAAATGGGTCAAAACTGACCAGTCGTATTTCCCTATATAATCTTTGTATTTTATGGGAAAAACAGAGGGTCATTTCATCGCAGGCTTTAGGGAACTTAAACTCAGTATATCTGGGTATTTTTTTGCATACTCTTAGGTCAATGGCTTGACCTTTAGGGAAAACTGTCGGTTTCACTCAAAGCCCTCGACGAGGGCTAAAAAGTGACCGCGAGTGAAATTCTCTTTATATGAGCTCTATTACGAAAAAAAATTTCCTCCGACGACCCCCCTTGAAATTTTGTGAGGTGGTAGGAGAACGCCTTGGGGTGTCAAAAAAAACTCGGCATATCTCGGAAAAATCGGGAAGTGGGTCAAAACTGACCAGTTGTATTTCCCTATATAATCTTTGTATTTTATTGGAAAAACAGAGGGTCATTTCAACGCAGGCTTTAGGGTACTTAAACTCAGTATATCTGGCTAAATTTTTGCATACTCTTAGGTCAATGGCTTGACCTTTAGGGAAAACTGTCGGTTTCACTCAAAGCCCTCGACGAGGGCTGAAAAGTGACCGCGAGTGAAATTCTCTTTATATGAGCTCTATTACGAAAAAAATTTTCCTCCGACGACCCCCCTTGAAATTTTGTGAGGTAGTAGGAGAACGCCTTGGGGTGTCACAAAAAACTCGCCATGTCCGGGAAAAATCGGGAAATGGGTCAAAACTGACCAGTCGTATTTCCCTATATAATCTTTGTATTTTATGGGAAAAACAGAGGGTCATTTCAACGCAGGCTTTAGGGAACTTAAACTCAGTATATCTGGGTATTTTTTTGCATACTCTTAGGTCAATGGCTTGACCTTTAGGGAAAACTGTCGGTTTCACTCAAAGCCCTCGACGAGGGCTAAAAAGTGACCGCGAGTGAAATTCTCTTTATATGAGCTCTATTACGAAAAAAAATTTCCTCCGACGACCCCCCTTGATATTTTGTGAGGTGGTAGGAGAACGCATTGGGGTGTCACAAAAAACTCGGCATATCTGGGAAAACTTCGTAAAGCGGTCAAAACTGACCAGTTGTATTTCCCTATATAATCTTTGTATTTTATTGGAAAAACAGAGGGTCATTTCAACGCAGGCTTTAGGGTACTTAAACTCAGTATATCTGGCTAAATTTTTGCATACTCTTAGGTCAATGGCTTGACCTTTAGGGAAAACTGTCGGTTTCACTCAAAGCCCTCGACGAGGGCTAAAATGTGACCGCGAGTGAAATTCTCTTTATTTGAGCTCTATTACGAAAAAAATTTTCCGACGACGACCCCCCTTGATATTTTGTGAGGTGGTAGGAGAACGCCTTGGGGTGTCACAAAAAACTCGGCATATCTGGGAAAACTTCGTAAAGGGGTCAAAACTGACCAGTCGTATTTCCCTATATAATCTTTGTATTTTATGGAAAAAAACAGGGTAATTTCAACACAATTTTTACGTTACTTAACCTCTGTACATCATGCTAATGTTTTGCATACACTTCTATAGATGACTAGGCCGTATGGAAAAACTGTTGGTCAGACTCAAAGCCCTCGACCAGTGCTAAAAGATGACCGCGAGTGAAATTCTCCTTATATGAGATATATATAAATAATTTGACGATCGATCCCGTTAATATTATTTGAGGTCGTAGACCGACCCTGGAGGGTAACAAAAAAACTTTAATCCCGTCGGAAAAAGCTATTGTAGTCGTTAAATATGTTTATATATCGTATTTTCTTATATAAGCATAGTAACTGTTTAAAAAAAAAGTAAACACAGAGATACGTCATTCGGTTAATTTCCAAGGGAGGTAACCTTTTTAAATAATTATTTTTCAAATAATTGTATACTATTTTAAACAGAAACAGAAAACGACAAAGTATAGCATTTGTTTTAGATAAAAATAAGTTATTAATTAAGCTACGTATCATAATTAAATAAAAAATTAAATTTTAAAGTCAATATAATATAAGTTATGAGATATACTGTTCATGAAACCTCTGTAGTTCTATTTCCATCTTAGTTATAAATTGCGTACTTTCGAACACTTTCTCTGAATGCTGATGTTAAAGAGCATAGGCCTACAACATCTTCTCTAACATTAGCATTACTGTTTACATTTAAGCACTCCACGCCTCATCCATCACCTAATAATTACTATTCAAATTATCAAATGTTTTTGAAAACCTAAGCGAAGCTAGGCAATATGCCTAGTACATAAATAAATCAAAGGATTATTAACATGTGTTAAATTAATGCAGATTATTTTTAACATAATAACATGTGCATTCATTACATTTTACTAAATTAAAAAATTGACACACACTTAAAAGAAATATGAATACACAATTAACCGTTGACTGTTTAATTATAGAAATGTGAATGTTTATCAATATTATTGAGAAGAAAACATATTTTAAGGTACAGGTCAATGTGGTAGCTATGGTTTTACAAAAACTATTTGTTAATTATTTCTTTTATTTTTAATCGACGTTAAAATTATAAATGGGGTGGGGGGGGGGGGGTAAGTTTATTTTAATTACTGTCAGACACTTGAAAAATTGCTTCAAATACCAATACATCTTGCAGCAGACCATAAAACTGGAGGCTAAAGCAGAAAAATCGAAATAATAAGGACAGAGTTCTTCCAGGTATCTCTTCGGGGGGGGGGGGGGGGGGGGGAGGGGGATAGACTTTCTACGCCCCTCCACCTCCCCCGGATGAAATTAATTTATATAGAAAATATACACTTTTACCAGTTCTCCCCTTCCCCCCGGAAAATTTACTCCGGACCCCACCCTCCCAAAAATATCAAGTGCCCCCCCCCCCCCCCAGGGAAAAAAAGTCTGAAAGAAACACTGACTAAGGGATCATTCATTAGTTTAAATTAACTACGGATCACCTCTTTCTGTTATAAAATAGTAATTAGGTATAAATTCCGTATTTATTTAGCACTAAAATTATCACTCAGTTCTGGGGATAGGGGGATTTGAAAACTGTGGTGTCGAAATAATGGGCTCTCCGATTTTTATTGACGTGTGAAGATAAGTAGACAAGTAGATAAAGAGCGAGAGACATTTGGAGATGAGATTATTTTCTTCGCAGTCGTGACTATATAAAAATTGTTGTAATAAAATATTTTATTAAAACATAAAATTTTAAAATCCAATTGTTAGCTTTGCATTTACCAGGGTTATAGAATATTAAAACAACACTTCCGGTTACCGGAAATCGCTGAAAAGTTGAAACAAAACTAGAAATAAATTGATATAATATTTAGCGGATGCGAATGTGCATGCTATTGTCTTTGTGTGTGTGCATGTGCATGAATGTGCTTGTGCTTGTTTGTTTGTGTGTGCGTGTTTGTGTGTGTGTGTGCATATGTGTTTGTATCTGCGTGTTCAAGTGTGCGCGTTTGCGTGTCTGTTTGCGTACGTGCGTGTGTGTGTGTGTGCGTGTTTGTGTATATTTATTGTGTGTATATGCGTGCGCAAGTGTGTCAGACTATTTGATTCCAGTCAGCGCGTGGTATTCCAGTCGAGTTGTTTATAATTCTTTCAATTGTTAGAACACAGTAAAGCGTTACATTTAAATAAAATAATAAAAGGTGCCTTGTAATATTTTTATTGATTTCATTTTGTATTTAACTGTCTAATGTAATGACACACAGAAATCTTATAAGTTCATTTAAAGGGACAAAAATATCAGAGCTTGATCAAATTGTCTTGAGGCAACGGTTCCAATGAACGTCAAAGGTACTTAATGTCTTTCAGGCAGTAGCGTAGCGGGGGGGGGGGGGGGGCGGGGGGCGGGGGGATGGGGACATATGTCCCCGGGCACCGACCTTAGGGGGCGCCAAAATGGGTTGGAAAAATAAATTGAAAGGTTGAGGGGGGGGGGATGTGCAAAGCGAAATCTTGAGGGGGGGTGCAAATCGAAAAGTTTGTCCCCGGGCGCCGGGAAGGGTTGCTACGCCTCTGCTTGCAGGCACCTGTAATTGTACCAGCAACTGTAGTACAACAGCTTATATCACAAACAAAGCTGTAGGACAGCAGCTTGTATAAAAGCTGTGCGACAGCCGCTATGGCATAATAATGAATGGAGTATTTAGAGGGGAAAAACTTACTGCGAGTAATCACTGCCTTACATGAGACCGTAAACTGAATAAATTACCCTAACAACAGCCCATAAACTTTATGTGGTATCATATATCAAGGCACACAGAGGTGGTTATTGCTGAAATTGAAATGCCATAAATAGCCATAACACTTTATAAAAACATAGCTTTTCCATATAAAAGGGGGCTAAGTTTCCAAAAAAAAAAAATTCATTCAAGGGTCTATTTCTGTACATATTTTATGTGTCAAATTTACAAGTATACGTAATTTTTAAAAATCAGACCAACAATAAAACATCACGTACAAAATAATGTTAAGTAAAGCAGAGTATTCTATAATTTTATAACTGGCTGTGTTAAGTTCAGCGTCATTTATCGTAAGTATGATCCACGCTAGACTGCTGGCCAGTTTTATATTATTTGTCCAGCTAGCCTGAATGTCCAGTATTTTACAACTGACCAAACTGGACCCTGTGTCCGGTACTTTATATCATGCTGCTGAAGGTGGTCTCCCAAAATATCTGTCTCTGGTGTATGGGGAACTGGTCTACACGCGGGCTCTCGTCAAAGTTGAGAAAGTGTTGGGACCTCAGGTCAAACGGTTGCCAGGTCAGGTTGGTCGCCAGTGTCCAGCTTGGGTCTCTGGAATAAAAAATAAAAAATATTTACATATGGCGGAAATGCAATGAACACCAGTTAATTTGGAGAACGCTTTATACGACATAATATTAAAAAAAAAACAGATCCAAATATAATAAGAAAAGAAATAATACAAAATAGGATCGCCATTTTGAAAGTTATGAATGCAAGAAAATTAAACAGCTCCTCGCATTAGGACTTGAAAGTCTCGTTCTCTTTCTCACAAAAATCAAAATCTTGTTATTCAGGGAGAGATATACATTTTCGAACTAAATTAATTGCTGTAAACATGATTCCCACTGATAAAAAACAAAAGACAGCTATTTATCTTTGAGCCTCGCTACAAGATTTGAAAATTACCACGTGTTCCCCAATTGCAGATTACATAAAAAATTCAACGATGTTATGTTCATATAACTTGTGGCAACTAATAAATTTGCTTGCTTTTCTGAATACACACGTTTTGTTGGGGCAAGTATGTCAAATTTAGTTAGTTTAGTTTCAAGACAAGCTTTATTTCAACACTGAACAGATAGGCCTACCCCTTCTTAATAAAGTCTCCTAAAATGGTCATGTAAACCTTTTTCAGCTTTCTGTCCTCTTCAGTAAAATCTAAGCCAGTGTTCACACGATAATACAACTTGATCACGTCATATGGTTTGATGTCAAAAAGGTAGGACACGTCCAGAGCGTGAGGAAAACCGTTGAGCAGTGGCGGCACAAGTGTGGGGGTGTAGTTGAGTACCATGTAGTAGGCCCGTCTATGGTAGTCTAAATACAAGATACAATTCAATTTTATATATATATATATATAATATAATTATATATATATATAATGTATAATTATATATATATAATATATAATTATATATATATATATATATATATATATATATATATATATATATATATATATATATATATATATAGGTGTGTGTGTGTCTGTGTGTGTGTCTGTGTGTGTATCTGTGTGTTTGAAGGTATACATGTAAATATTAAATACAATCTGCTTTACCTTTAGCTTGAGAGGTCAACACCTTTATAAAATTAAGTGCAGGTATGCTTAAGATGTAGTCTCCTATCAAGGGATATAAGGTCGGGAAGGGCAGGTTAAGAGCAGTGTAGAAGTCCAGGGTCGTCTGGGCGTTAGCTGGTGTCGTCTGAAGGATTTGGCTGAGAAAGTCTATGGACACGTTGGTTGGGTCTGTTGGAAAGGTGGACACGCATTATAATGTTACATAACTTAACGTTATTTAAAATGTGTATTATATATCCTCAGATTTAAATTTGTATTAAAAAGAAAAGTTTACTTTTAAACAGTATAAAAACGTTTTAAATATTTTGTTGATCTTCTCTTTTTTTCTTCTCTAAAACCATATTTTTTAGATAATTTTAATGTTCAAATTTTCACACGAAAATTGTGCAAGTAGCAACATGTAACCTACCGATCCCTGTGGCGAATTCTCCAAATAGAATTATCGGTCCCTCGTTATTCGTGTTGCTCACCAGATAATCCCGCTCAAAAAATCCCACCTGCTTCAGGTACGTCGTGTTTTTTACCAGCTCCACTATGGGAGCCGGGAACAGCTCCCCGTCCCGGCTTAAGAACAGCTGGGTGAAGTGACTGACGATTGGAATAACGTAGGCGCTGGAGGGTAACTTTTTTAAACATTGTATTTTATCCTGCAAGTTTGGGGAGGTACAGCGGACGGTGTTGGAGACGTGCTCTAAGATCATTCCTGATGAGCCGCCGGCTGTGAACAGGTTTTGAAAGGCTGAACCGCTCATCAGAAAACCCTGAAAATGTTCGTCAAATGTATATGTGTTCTTTGTACCAACAGGAGGCATTCGCTGATTATTTAATAGATGTTTTAAAAATATAAATTTCTAATGTTAAAAATTTGAACAAGAAATACGTATTTTACCTACATTTTAAAATTATGCATTTATCTCGCCTACAATTTGAATTATTGAAGACACCGATATCCGATAATAGACTCTTCCAAAATTAGGCGTGTTAGGTTGTTAGTAGTATTGTAATCTCGAATAGTTTTATGGTTAGAGATAAGTGTTAGGCGTGCGGTAGGACTAAGGTTGGGGTTAAGGTTAGGGATAGGGTTAGCAGTGAAATAGGACTGGTAAGTAGGTCACCAACCAGTTCTACGGCTCAATAAACACTGCATGAGCTATAGAACTGGTTGGTGACTTACTTACCTGCACTATTAGCAAGCCATTTGTGTATTTTAGCTAACTACCAGTTATCTAACACCCCCTTTTTTCAAAAACAAAAGATTCTACTAACGGTCACTGGTATAAAAAAAATCTCCGACAATTTATAGACATGAGTGAAATATAAATAAATTTATTACCCTGTGGAATAAATACTTGGCCTGTCTGACGATGCTGAGAACTGATACACTTATGCTGCCCACGGAGTTGCCGCCTATGGTGATGTGGTTCGGGTCTCCGCCGAACGATCGAATGTTTTTCCTGACCCACTTCAGTGCCATGATTTGATCCCATATCGCCTGATTACCCGGAAGTTTGGGGTCGTCTGCTCGTAGAAACCCGAGGTAGCCGAGACGATAGTTCAAGGTCACGACGATGACGTCATTCTGAAAGTGAAAAAAAGCAGGTTAACTTAAATTTTTATGTAAATAAAATCTAATGTAGAGCAGTACCGTGAATATAACTGATACATGTAATTGCTAATTTGTAGTGTGAAATTAAAAACTTAGTGACGTTGATTTCCATGTCAACGTTTTACACGTAATATTTCATCGTATTGGAGTATATCCCTTTCAACTAGACAATTAAAAACGAAGAACAACACAAATCTCCATGAATTCAAACAACTTTTTACTATGTAACATGTCAGCAAAATTTAACGGCGGTTTGTTATTGTACTATTCCTTTATTAACCATGATTAAGTCAGGGAATTGTTAACGCTCGTATTATTCAAAACCTAATCCTTACCCCACAGACCAGTTGCGTAGAGCGGGGTGGAGGGGAGGGGATGACGTGTAGGGTGGAACTAGGGCGTAAACATTAAGGGGGGGGGGTAGGGTAGGGGAAATAGACCCATACACCTCTTTAGAAACTTTTTTGTAAGCCACTTAGATATTATGCACGAAGTAGATAGAATTATAGGGAGGGGAGTGGGGAATCATAGCCTTGGTAATGATTTAAGAATTAGTACAATCTCTCACCTGTGTAACTAGATCACCTCTCCTGTGTAACTAGACCACCTCTCACCTGTGTAACTAAACCACCTCTCACCTGTGTAACTAGATCACCTCTCACCTGTGTAACTAGACCACCTCTCACCTGTGTAACTAGATCACCTTACCTGTGTAACTAGATTACCTCTCACCTATGTAACTAGATCACCTCTCACCTGTGTAACTAGATCACCTCACCTGTGTAACTAGATCACCTCACCTGTGTAACTAGATCACCTCTGTGTAACTAGATCATCTCACCTGTGTAACTAGATCACCTCTCACCTATGTAACTAGATCACCTCTCACCTGTGTAACTAGATCACCTCACCTGTGTAACTAGATCACCTCTCACCTATGTAACTAGATCACCTCTCACCTGTGTAACTAGATCACCTCACCTGTGTAACTAGATCACCTCTCACCTATGTAACTAGATCACCTCTCACCTGTGTAACTAGATCACCTCACCTGTGTAACTAGACCACCTCTCACCTGTGTAACTAGATCACCTCACCTGTGTAACTAGATCACCTCTCACCTGTGTAACTAGATCACCTCATCTGTGTAACTAGATCACCTCTGTGTAACTAGATCATCTCACCTGTGTAACTAGATCACCTCACCTGTGTAACTAGATCACCTCTCACCTGTGTAACTAGATCACCTCTCACCTGTGTAACTAGATCACCTCTCACCTGTGTAACTAGATCACATCTCACCTGTGTAACTAGATCACCTCTCACCTGTGTAACTAGATCACCTCTCACCTGTGTAACTAGATCACCGCATCTGTGTAACTAGATCACCTCTGTGTAACTAGATCATCTCACCTGTGTAACTAGATCACCTCACCTGTGTAACTAGATCACCTCTCACCTGTGTAACTAGATCACCTCTCACCTGTGTAACTAGATCACCTCTCACCTGTGTAACTAGATCACCTCTCACCTGTGTAACTAGATCATCTCACCTGTGTAACTAGATCACCTCTCACCTATGTAACTAGATCACCTCTCACCTGTGTAACTAGATCACCTCACCTGTGTAACTAGATCACCTCTCACCTATGTAACTAGATCACCTCTCACCTGTGTAACTAGATCACCTCACCTGTGTAACTAGATCACCTCTCACCTATGTAACTAGATCACCTCACCTGTGTAACTAGATCACCTCTCACCTATGTAACTAGATCACCTCTCACCTGTGTAACTAGATCACCTCACCTGTGTAACTAGACCACCTCTCACCTGTGTAACTAGATCACCTCACCTGTGTAACTAGATCACCTCTCACCTGTGTAACTAGATCACCTCACCTGTGTAACTAGATCACCTCATCTGTGTAACTAGATCACCTCTGTGTAACTAGATCATCTCACCTGTGTAACTAGATCACCTCACCTGTGTAACTAGATCACCTCTCACCTGTGTAACTAGATCACCTCTCACCTGTGTAACTAGATCACCTCTCACCTGTGTAACTAGATCACATCTCACCTGTGTAACTAGATCACCTCTCACCTGTGTAACTAGATCACCTCTCACCTGTGTAACTAGATCACCGCATCTGTGTAACTAGATCACCTCTGTGTAACTAGATCATCTCACCTGTGTAACTAGATCACCTCACCTGTGTAACTAGATCACCTCTCACCTGTGTAACTAGATCACCTCTCACCTGTGTAACTAGATCATCTCACCTGTGTAACTAGATCACCTCTCACCTGTGTAACTAGATCACCTCTCACCTGTGTAACTAGATCACCTCTCACCTGTGTAACTAGATCATCTCACCTGTGTAACTAGATCACCTCTCACCTATGTAACTAGATCACCTCTCACCTGTGTAACTAGATCACCTCACCTGTGTAACTAGATCACCTCTCACCTATGTAACTAGATCACCTCTCACCTGTGTAACTAGATCACCTCACCTGTGTAACTAGATCACCTCTCACCTATGTAACTAGATCACCTCTCACCTGTGTAACTAGATCACCTCACCTGTGTAACTAGACCACCTCTCACCTGTGTAACTAGATCACCTCACCTATGTAACTAGATCACCTCTCACCTGTGTAACTAGATCACCTCACCTGTGTAACTAGATCACCTCATCTGTGTAACTAGATCACCTCTGTGTAACTAGATCACCTCTCACCTGTGTAACTAGATCACATCTCACCTGTGTAACTAGATCACCTCTCACCTGTGTAACTAGATCACCTCTCACCTGTGTAACTAGATCACCGCATCTGTGTAACTAGATCACCTCTGTGTAACTAGATCATCTCACCTGTGTAACTAGATCACCTCACCTGTGTAACTAGATCACCTCTCACCTGTGTAACTAGATCACCTCTCACCTGTGTAACTAGATCATCTCACCTGTGTAACTAGATCACTTCTCACCTGTGTAACTAGATCACCTCTCACTTGTGTAACTAGACCACCTCTCACCTGTGTAACTAGACCACCTGGCACCTGTTCATTAGCAGAACCAATGAAGTAGCCGCCACCGTGGATGTAGACAAAGACTTTCTTTAAATGGTTTGGGTTCGATTCTTCCTGGACATAAAATAAAAAGGCAATTAATATGTGCACATAAGTCAAAACTACGCTTGATAGTTTTTAAACGTATCAGATGATGGTGTGGTAGAGTGTTCTAGCAAACAGTTGCTAGCCAGCAGGTTGTGAGTTCGGTTCCATGGTGTGAGTTTATCTGGCATCGCTGAGTTTATCCAGCTTTAAAGAAAACCCGTGATCTCGTTGATTTAATAGATGACTCATTTTCCAATGACAAGAATTGATTAGCACTTTCATTTGCTCAATATATATTCAGCTATAAAATCATACTGTATGAAATATTAGCGTCTAATAGCTATACAAAAACAATACCCGGCTTACATGAATGGGAAGGTAGACATTCAAATAGAGACAGTCTTCATGTGCCTGTGTGCCCAGATCTACACCCAGTGATTGTATACACACAGGGCCACGTTTGGTGGCGATGAAGACATTCTGTAGAAATAGACGGGGACATTTTGTTGTGAGCTGCCTTTGTTAGGGTTAAACACAACAAATCAAACGGAAATAAAGAAATTTAATAGAGATCAGATTTTAAAGAAATCTATACAACCTAATAAAAATATATAATTAGCACCGTGAGGTATTTCACAAGCATTTTTATTCCAGCCTTATATATAGCAAAATAACTAATTTACAAAAATAAATATTTTGGACTTAATTGAGAAAGTAATAAAATCTATTGTAAGACACAAAAAATGAAATAATTGGGCCTTATTTAGGAAAGTGAAATAATCCATGATATCTACAGACTTACTTCAAACTTTGGGTAGGGGACGGGTTTAGCAAATCTGAGAGTCCCTGTAGGTGGTAGCGCGAACGGGATCCCCAGAAAAGCGTTGTAGCTAAGTCCAGCTGGCGATGTGAGGGTCGTACCACGGTACTTGCCGCTGGGTGAGGAGACGGTGGGGTCAGGGGACAGGGCGTGGCACACATGCAGACACAGCATCAGCAACAACAGCAACATCCTGGCTGTGATGGATAAAAAATACAAGTTGTTAGGGTTAGAGTAAAAATGTTAATAATTACGTTATATCCTAAATATGAAAACTGCTTACTAAGCGTATGTTAAGCTAGACAGAGCGCCTAGTAGTATACTTGACGAAATGATAAATTGTACCAAAACGACAAGATACAACCTATGCAAGTCGGATTAATTTGACGTACTAACTTGTATGGTCACAAGTCAGCTAGAATACCTCCCGCGGTGTCGTGTTACATTTATCTTTAAGTACTGGTTGTTGGAAAACCTCCTGCACTATAGCGCTTTTATATTTCTGTAACGACTGGTTGATAACGGGTTGCTCGCTGAGGCGTCGAAGAATTATCGTCTTGAACAAAAAAAAATTCAGTCTTCTGTTCATATTCTGTTCACCCGCTAAATGTTCAGTCGTGTGGGTATCTGTAGGCGGGGGCTTAGCTAAATATAGAAATAAAAGACGTATCATATTACTTTATAATACGCAAACCTTTAGCACTATAAAAAAAATAATAATCCGGGATATATATATATATATATGTATATGTGTATATGTATATATATATATACATCCAAATGTTTGTGTGTAGATGTATATATATAGGTATGTATATGTATGTATGTATATATATATATATATATATATATATATATATATATATATATATATATATATTTATTTATTTATTTATTTATTTATTTATATATATATATATATATAATATATATATATATATATATATATATATATATATATATATATATATATATATATATATATATATGTGTGTGTGTGTGTGTGTGTGTGTGTGTCTTTGTGTATTGTGTGTACGTACGTGAGGGTATGCGTGCGTGTATGTTATGTGTCTGTTCCTCAATTTTCTGTACTATTTCTAGTCCTCGGCTTTGATTAAGACCATATTATTATCTTCCCCCCCCCCCCACTCGCCCCTCACCCGCCCTATCAAATCACCCACGCGTGAATTACGACCATGTCGTCTGTATATTCTGGGGGAACTAACCTTCACCGAGACACACTCCATGAGGTCAGGTCTCGTGGCCTACTTATGTAACCAATTTTAGTTCAGCTGTACCAGGTGTATTTTGCTGTACATACACACACACACACAAAGATTCACAGAAAAAAATTTTTTTGCAAAAATAAATAATACATTTTTTTTTAAAATTCTTGACGTAACCCCTTGGGTAAAATGTGCTTTTATAAATGTATTCCAACCCTCACCCTATTCGCAAACGAAACAAAACCTAGACTGAAATCCTTTTGAAAATTGTCTTGCAGGCTCTTAATGCAGTGGTGCAGAATGCTAATCTGCACATTTTAATGTTTTTAAAAGACCGGATTAGGCAGGGATAAACTTATCTGAATGTTATCTTGTGTGACGGAAATGTGCATTTGTTTTTAGTGCTGACTTGATAAGAATGGATGTATAATCAACGGTTTATGTGTGAAGATCGCTAACATAATCTGTTGTTTCTTCGTTTCGGCGATCTAGACATTGCTGAAGCTCAAACCGGTGATTTAAAAAAAAAAAAAATATATAAAACTTTTTTGTATTAAATCCTTAAGCTTTTCGCTCATGCATAACTCATAGCCTTAGCGAAAGCCCTGGCTTAAGTTTAAGTCGAGCTTTAAATGTATCCGTAAGATTAACCCAAATCCTAGCACTAACCTTTGGTTCATGGTGTTTTCGAATGTAGGTTATCTCCTACTTTATCATTTCCTCTGCTCGTAAAAAAATATGGTTTTAGATGTTAAGAAAAAAATATTAATTATTTAAGTGAAAAGAATCCTCTTAAGTACTAGCGATCCATTGGGCAGATAAAGTTCTTGTTTCTTGATCTCGGCATATGAAGGGCGGGTGAGGTTAACACTTTGCCGAGCTGCCTTTTACTTTCCCTAACGTGAGTTTAGTTACCCATCAGAGCTGGGTGGACTCAGGGACGTTCTACTAACATGAACCCGGATTCGAACTCGACACTTACAGGTGAGCAGTCTAGTGCTTTTCCACGCCCTCCCATAATTTTTTTCACTAGCTGTATTTAAATAATGTAGTAATTTCATCTCTAAAATGATATGTCAAAAACTTAAAAATTGATGTCTGAAGTAAAGATCAAGGGGCACCACCGCACCATAATTTTCTGGAAGTACTGAACTATGTAGAGTATTGAAAAGATAAACAATTAAAGTAATAATTGTATAATATATTATTAAACATTATAATTTATTACAAAGTTTAATTAATTAATAGCGCCCTCAAGCTTTTCAAAGTGAAATGACGAACCAACGTAAGTCTTTCTTTTTAAGTGACATCTCTTGGGAAAATATCAATTGAAGACTATGAGTTACTATAGTTAAGAAACAAAATCCTTTTTTAATAGCTAAACAAAACATTACTTACAATTTTACTACCTATTTAGCAAAAACATTTTCACTTCCTGCAAATCACAGTTTTAAAAAGAATTTTAACTCACTATGTCCAAGCTACGAATTATTTATTCAGCTCAATATTTCACAAAACCTTTTCGTACTTCTTGTACTGTCTATAAAAAACCATTATCAGCAAATTTTTTGGCTGTAGGCAATCGACGCTTATTAAAATTGGGATCTCCACTGCCCCTCCCCCCTATCTCCTCTGCCACCTCCTTCCTCCCCTGCCCCCTCCTATCCCACCTGTCCCTACTATATCCATAGTTTAGACACGAGTTATTCAGTGGCCCTTGTATCGACGTTTTGTTCACCATTGGCTTTCTTCGCGCTTGGATGAACCTGATACATAGGTACGACGTACTGTTTCTATACACTACCGCTACTTTACCGGCGTACTGTTTCCGCACACTTAACGCTACTTTATCGGCTGATACGACGTACAGTTTTTTTGTCAACTACCGCTACTTTACCAGCTGCTACATAGGTACGACGTACTGTTTGTATACACTACCGCTACTTTACCGACTGATACATAGGTACGACGTATTGTTTCTGTAAAATACCGATACTTTACCGGTTGATACGACGTACTGATTCTATACACTTAACGCTACTTTACCGGCTGCTCCATAGGTTCGACGTACTGTTTTTGTATACTACCGCTACTTTACCGACGTAGTTTCCGCACAAATAACGCTATTATACCGGCTGATACGACGTACAGTTTTTTGTCAACTACCGCTACTTTGAGGGGGGGGGGGTGCTAATCGAACGTTTGAAAGTTTGTCCCCGGGAAGGGTCGCTACGCCTCTGGGGGGTGACACCATTAAGTGCCGCACCGGGTGACACCCGAGCTCGCTACGCCACTGTGTAAAAACATTGGCATTGGTTTACATAGACCAGTTGTTTGTGCAATATTTAGCTTTTTACAAAAGCATTTTTCATCATAACACTGAGTATACATTTGAAAAATTTCTATCTATGATCTGTATCAATTTCTATCCATAATAAATAGTCCTCTCCCTAAAGTTAAACCTAGGCAACACAGGCCCTTACATACATCATCATCATCTTTCCCGTCGTGCCCAAGTCACACAGGCAGGTGAAGTAGAGTGCATCTGTTTCAGAGGACCTCGACATATGAAGGGATGGTCAGCACTATGCCAAGCCGTTTTTGTTTTCCCAAACGTGAGTTAGGTACCTATCAGAGCTGGGTTGACTCAAGAACAGAAGCGTAGCGAAGGGGGGGGGGGCAGGGGGTACATATGTCCCCGGGCGCCGACCTTAGGGGCGCCAAAATGGGTTGGAAAAACAAATTAAAATATCATTTTAGGTGACGTTTTGCATTATTAATATAAAAAATATATGGGGGTGTGCAAATGGAAAGTTTGAGGGGGGGGGGGGGGAGGGGAGGGGTGCGGGGGTGCAAATTGAAAATTGAAGGTTTGTTCCCGAGGAGGGCGCCAAATGAAAGTTTGTCCCCGGTCGCCGGGAAGGTCGCTACGCCTCTGCTCAAGAACTCTCTCTCATTGAACCCGGATTCGAACTTTTGGGTTAGCAATCTAGCACTCTACCACTATCCCACGCACTCCCATTCTAAATACATATCAATCATATATCATTATAAATTAATCCACCTCTCAGTAGAGCTATATATGGAAATCAATAGTATAATCTAAGATAACCCATTTGAAGCTGTTAAACAATTTAAACATTTGTGCTTTTATGTATTACGATAGTTGTATAACTTATCGGTTTAGTTCATGGTTTTAGAATTTTCGATAACGAAACAAAATTTGAAATTTAAAAAAAAGCGAAAATAAATTTCAGTTTTCTACTTTTTATATGAAAAATGTAAACTAACATGGAGTAAGTAGGTCATGTTGTCTTTCAAAAGTTCAATAATAGGGAATAACCGATTAAGCGCGCAAGGGATTTGTTTAAATTGTTTCAATTGTATTAGAACACCAGAAAGCGCTATGCGGTAATGAACAGGATTTCATCTAAGATAATTCGGAGTTTACTAATAAACAATCGCGGTATTTCTAGATCCATATTCTAAATCAAAGTGTGTCTTATATCAAGGGAAAGTTGGAGTTAAATTAAAATGTCGAGTTGATGTAAAATGTAAGTAAACCGGAATGTAGTCTTAAAAACATAAAGTGATACAAATAATTTTAAGTTAGATGCATAAGCAAATTTCTATAGCATTTAATTTGATCTCTCTCTCTCTCTCTCTCTCTCTCTCTCTCTCTCTGTATATATATATATATATATATATATATATATATATATATATATATATATATATATATATATATATATATATATATATATATATATACATTCTATATATAAGTTAAATATGACATTTTTTTCAGCTTTTAAATAAATAAAAATGTTACGATCACCATGAAGAAAAAAATTACCAATTCACGTTTTTCATTTAGATCTATATCAGCAATAATGATCAAACGTTTTTCATCAAGTTCAATGGAGGCCACCAAAGTTAGTAGTTTTACTTACACACTATTTGTTATAAGCGCTGCTATAGGGGATCTTTTATAAATAATGTCACGAAATTTTATCCCCACCCTCAACTCTTCGCACCTTTCCACAAACACACACAAAATACACACATTTTTATCTTTAGAGAAATAAATTATTTTCGTTATCAAATATGCCGTATATTTTTTCCCGCGTTCCGTGTTTTTAGTTTGCTTTTAATTTGTCTTCATTTTAAACGTTAAAATATCGGATTGCGTTTCTACAAAGATCAAACATTTTGCACGGTTTCGCTGTGAGTCATCGAATGTAGACTTCCAATATATTTTTAATTAATTACAAACAATTAATTACTTTTTAGAAACTAAATTTAACAAAGCAATAAATCTTTTAATGGGACGGAGTGGTCTAACGGTAGAGAGCTGGACTGCTAACCCGTAAGTCTCGAGTTCGAATCCGGGTTCTAGTCAGTAGACCGTTCCTGAGTCAACCCAACTCTAATGGGTACCTAACTCACGTTAGGGAAAGTAAAGGCGGCTGGGCATAGTGCTGACCACACTATCTCTTTATATGCCGAGGTCACAGAAACAAGTGAACTCTACTTCACTTGCCCCATAGACCGTCAGGTTTGAAAGGGAATTTTTACTTTACAATAAATCTTTAACTTTTCTTATCCATCTTTTGTTAATGAACATTAAAAGTAACAGTAATACATCTGATAAGTAAAAAGTTATAAATTAAGGACATCTAACCCAGAAAACTATGCAATTCTTGTAAGTTTACATCATTACCATGCCTAAGTTTCCCTTTCTCCCACATCACTTACCATAAGCTTAGAATTCTTATCTTTCCGTTTACCGATTGAAAATTTCACATTTCACATCATTTAACACTGAAATCCTCTACCGGTACAGATAACACGAGAGCCCAACGACCAAGCCAAGTTATGCCACTCCGCCAATTCGTTGCCGAAGTTCTCATTGATTCATACACCGCGATACCCTCCCTTTTCCCATTCGCTCTATGGTCTTAAGAGAGCTTGGTTTGAATATTCCAGTGATTGATTTATTTTTAAAGAGAACCTTTTTTTTTAATTAAAAAAAATAATTCAGCCATTCCACTTGAAACATTATTTGATTTACAATATGTTTATGTGTAGTTATTTTTCAAGTTACAAAATCCTTAGCTAACACACACAAAAGTAATACATCTTGTCGAAATTTCTCGAATGCAGAAGAAGCAGAGTTCACCTGTTTGTGTTACCTTAGCATTTAAAGAAATTTTTATCATCAGTTGTATTAGTTTTTAATGTATGCTATCAAGTTTAATATAACTACGTGTGACTGTGTGGAATGGCGTGGTCGATTGGTAGAGCGAGAAAATACTCACGCGATAGTGCCCAAAACCACGTCACTGAGCTCAACTATACTATTATATGAGCTGATTTGTATTGGTTAATGCGATGTGTTAAGAATTATCGCCTCTTTCTTGTATGTGCAGAGATTAAGTTTTAAAATATTTTAAGTTAAATATGTTAGGTTAGCCTGACCCCCCCCCCCCCCCCCGCCACGCCCCTCTTGGGTTATAAGCAGCTAACAAGAGCTTTCCAGGCATCTCTGTCCTGGGCTAGCCTCTCCCGCTTTTCCCAGGTGTATCCAATCTTTATGTCTTCTTCCAGATTAGCTATGTGCCCAGGCGGATTTACTCTCCCTACCGCGAGCCAGGTACCCATAAAAGCTGACTGAACTCATGGACAGTCCACAGACGCAAAACCGGGATTCGAACTCGAGACTACGCCGTCTTCTTTGCTCACCGTCTTTTCGTTATGGCCTGTGGATTTCAGGTGAGGGCCTGTCTTGTCATGCTGTATGCAGGCTTCCCGGGTGTGTGGCACTTCCAAATATACTTTTTGCGCTCAATTTGATTGTTCATATAACGACCTGATCTATACTAGGAGCATGGTGTGAGTGAAATAATGAATCAAGTTATGCATCTTTTTAACAGCTGTGAAACAGTTTGCTACATATTTTGTGGATTGATGGATGGATGGGT